AACTTTTGCTTGTTTTTATGTTTTTTGCATATTTTTCCCTTAACTGTTAAACCACAGATTGGTTTGGTTTTTTGCCATATACCATTTAGGGAAATGCATTTAAAAAAACAAAAAAACAAACCAACAAACAAACAAACAAAACAAATGGAAAATGTACTGGTAGAAAATTAGTTGTTTTTTTAAGAATTAATGACGTGACATGTTTTGAGCATCTTGCCTGGTTGTAGTAGACAACAGCTGAAGGGGGACAAAAACTACAAATGCCTGGACAGGAAACAGGAAGTCCTTTTGTTCCTCTCAGTCAGGACAAGGAAGAGGTATTTAGGCATTTAGACAGTTAGACCTGAGACATTTCGAGCAAGCCAGAGCTTTTAGACTGGCCGGTGTAGCTGAAGGCTGAATGACCTTGCAGACATAAGGGGATGATGGCTGCAGGTTTTCCTTGCGTGTTTATTGTATTTGTAATGAATTTTATCAGGTTATTTCATGTTTTACTGTCCTATGAATGAAAATTATGTATTCTTGTTTTGTTTCTCTTGTCAGGTATTATAACATAATAGTTTTCATCTAATTAATGCAGCTTTTGTATTCTGATTTAAACAGGAAGACCAGCCGCCATAACTGTTGATGCGCTCGGTTAGAGAAATGTTTTCATTCTAGGGATTTAATTACTGTTTGAAAAGAATTCCGTTTCTTCAGAATACAAGACCTTTAAATAATATGGCCAGACACCACACATAAATGACTTTTTTTCAGTCATCATGATTCATGAGCTGTTAATAATATTCATGATTTCTCAGTCAGGTCTGCAGGACTGCAGATAAAAGCATGAAATCATGAAGCAATTATTCTTACTTAATCATAATTTCAACACTTACAGACATATACGTTCACTGCCATCACTGCTCAGTTGTTTAGCCCCCACTTGCAGACTTGACAAGAACAACATTAACTCATATGGATCATGATTAAAATGCTATAGTTGTTTCATTATTCAATGTACAATTTGTAGTTATTATAAAGAAATGATGAGTACTTTTCCATGTGTGAACCCCTGCAGATATCTTCACTGTATAGTGTTACTCATCCCTGTAACTAACTGCAAACAAAGCACTTCAAAAGATTCAACCTTGACTCAACTCAAGGATTGATTTTCATGAAGCAGAGCAGGCAGATGGAGATGTTACATATCAGTCGGTCCCTGTTTTAGCATACCGAGGGGCGCTGGGTTCACTTTACTGTAATCTGTGTTCTACCCGAGCTACACCATAAACAATGAGCCCAGAGAGCACAACAACCGACATCTCACTTTCATCCCTGCTAAGTGAAGGAAAATCCCCAAACAGGATTGAAATCCCTTAAGTGCCTCACATTTTTAGCAAAGCTTTTACCTGCAGGCTGTTCCTGCACCGCTGCTCGGTCTGAACATTTCAATTGTTGATAACAATGATGAAATTGCTTTGTGTATTTTCATGTTTTGATGCATAAATTACTCGGATATTAAATCATGAGTCTGTTTTGCAATCCTGAAATTGTGTACACGGTATTTTGATTTTTTTTTTTACCACAAAGTTGGGATCAGTGCCTTTTTATCAGCATCTCAGCTGTAATGCAGCAGCAGCAGCCTGGCGTGTTACATCCTCAGAATCCCCTGTCAACCCACTGACGTCAGAAACCTCTTTGTATGTACGCGCGGCCCTCGATGCCAGCCCCCGCATGGCTTACGAGGAGAAGGGGGGTGGAAAAAAGGAGGGAGGATGGGAAAGACGGAGGTGGGAGGTGGGCTTTATGTTGTGATGTAATTTCATGGAAGTTGTTATGTGGTGATGCTGCATCTTACAGGAGATGTGAACACCAAGGCCCCCTACTGGCCGGGTAAGAGAACAATTGAGCTCACGGTTTGTTTGTTTTTCATTATGCTAGTTGATATGTATGACCATAAAATCACATGCAACATTTACATGAACCACAGGAAGGCTGGTGGAAGGTTCGAGCATGGTCTTTCTCAGCTTATTATTGAGGTGGTGTGTGCTCATCTGACGCAAAGTACATTTTTGGAAAGGTCAGTGAAGGGATGCAAAGAGACTTGTGGTCACACCTGTGTGCCGGTGAACCTAACCTGTGTGTCTAACCTGGATGTGTTAGTATGCTCGCACAAGTCCACCCATCATAACAATCATGGAGCTGCACCATGGTGCCGTTTAAAGAGGGTGCCATGTTTTCAAATGACATTACGATTAATGTTAAACTGAGGTGATGCATCAGTCCGTTTTAGAATTAAACATACAGCACCATCTGGTGGCAGCAGAAGTCATAGATTTCAAAGATTTACATTTCAGTTGTGTTAAAAGGTCAAATATAACTGAAAAAACCTGATTATCTTTCATTCTACACAGATGTTGACCTCAATGATGTGTTTCTTTAGTCATGGGGTGACTTTTGCTTATTCATTTCTGCAGAGGGCATAAAAGGATATTAGTAAAGGACAGAAAGGGGAAAACAACGGTGAAAGATTTACATCTGAGGTCTGTTCAAATCACAGTGTTAAACAGTTTGTTTGTTTTTAAATGCTGCTGTCAAATTTTCCAACCCTAAAACAAACCACAAAAACACCTAAAGGTAATACTCATTAATTGGCTGATTTATTTCTGTTAAACTGGTATGCTTCATCAGGACTGTGCGGGTGTGGTACTTTACCCGTAAGCATGAGCAAATTCAGACGTGCCTTAAACACACAAGCAGTTTCTCTTTTACCAACTGCCAACTGCCTGTTGGAGCAAGTCTAAAAGTCACTTTGCTCATACTTTTATGAGCTTTATTGCTAATATCAAATCTTACCAAATACAAAATCAACTTCTTTTTGTTGTGTACATTCACTTTATTAGGAGGTCAAATCAGGCACTTTGCTTGTACTGGGTTGGACCCCCTTTTTTTTTTACCTTCAGAACTGCATTGTCTGTCGAATAGATTCAACTAGGCGCTGGAAACATTGCTGTGATTCTGGTTCATATTGACATGATAGGATCATGGAATGGGCCGCCACATCCCAAAGTTTCTTTACTGGATTGGACTGTGGAGACCATTTGAGTACTGAATAGTAAACTCATTGCTATGTTCAGGATAATGCTTTGCGATTACGCATTATCCAACCGGAAGCATCCAGAAATCATAAGGGTCTGACACAGTCAGGCAGTGACATTCAAAAGATGCTCAGCTGATAAAAAAGAGAACAGGAAAATATTGCCCGCACCATTACGCCAGCAGCCTGAATCACGGGGACACAAAATTAATCCATGCTTTCATGTGCTTTACAAAGATTTCTGAAATTGCCATCTGAATGATGCAGCAGAAATCGAGACTCATATGACCAGGCAACATTTTTTCCATCTTCTGTTGTCCATTTTTGATGATTCCCTGTAAGTTGTAGCCTCAGTTTCCAGCTCTGCTGACAACAGCTGGTCTGGTCTCCTGCTACTGTAGACCATCTGCTTCAAGGTTCCTCTTTTTTTCCTTTCAAAGATGCTCTTCTGCATACATTGGTTGTAATGAGTGGTTACTTGAATTACTCTTGTTATTTGAAGCATTCTGGCCATTCTCCTCTGATATCAACAAGGCATTTTTGTCAAAAGAACCACAGCTCGCCAGAAATCTCTATTTTGCACATTCTCTATAAACTCTAGAGATGGTTGTGAGGCCAAGCCCAAGCGGATTAACAGTTTCTGAAACGATCAGACCAACCTGTCTACCACCAACAACTATGTTTTGTTTAAAATGAATTAAATCACCTTTCTTCCTCATTGTTACGACTGTTGTCGTAATTATAATATGTAAATTTGAGTGTGCAGGTGCTCCTCCATGATTGGTGCATCCAGGGTGGATGGATCCTACCGATTGGCTAACGACCGGGAGGCAGCGCATAAGAAGACACCTCCAGGGACTGCCAGTTAATTCATCCTCGGCCCAACCCCGACCGTGTGTTCACTGTTTCACTATGTTGGTTTAATGTAGGAGCATGTAGGCATGGACCGCCTTTTTGTTTGATTAGTTTTCTCCTGTTTTTGTTAGGTAGGGAGGGAAGTAATTGTTGTTTGGTTTAGTTCTTTTGACTAGGTAAGTTGTATTTACTGTCACAAAGTATTCATTGTGTGACGTGCTGCTCGGGGTTGGACGGGGATGGATCACCCTTTATGTTGTGGTCTGGTTTCGCCTAGACGGGCCGTAACATCATTCTTATGCTGAGTTTAAACGTCAGAACATCCTGTAATGTGTTCCTGCAACGTGATTGGTTGATTAGACCCATGAAGTTGCCAATGAGCGCAAAGCTCCCATCAGACTGAAAAATGTGGGGGTTTTTAAGGAAGGCTGATTTTGTGATTGAAAATCACTCCTCTCATGAGTGTACAGTGTTCTTTGGTTTCTCTGTCAGACACATGTGCTCCTCACACATCTGGTTTCATCACAGAAACAGTGAAATTACTCAGCTTGAGGTTTTTACAGTGGACCTCAGTAACCAACAGGTCACATCATGTTGGTTTTTTATAAACAGTCTATGCCTTCACCATGCCTCCCACTGGGGAAAAACACAGACACCAATACCAGCACATTATCCATGAAACTGAGTTTAATAGATTGTTAAAAATAAGGCTATGATACTGTTTTAGCAAACATTGACCACCATTTATGGCGCCCAGAGAAACAAATGGGACCAGCCTCTGGGTTTTGTTTTTAAGGATGAACATACACTAAGCAGACACACACCACACACTTGGAAAATCAAACACACACTGGCAGACACTCCTAAGTGTACATGTGTACTCTAAACACAAAACACGCACATACATACACTGACATCCACCCCACCCAAAACGGTGGCAATAAACTGAGATTTAGCCGATAATATAGCAGTGTTCTCTAAAAAAAACATGCATAGCTTAGTACATGAATGAAAGTTTTTCTCTGCACAATTTGATCTCATGGTTTGTGAAAAATTTCCAACATAATGACATTAATCCATTTTATTTAACCATTATTAACAATCATGTAAACTCGTTAGACTATTCTGTTCACAATAGCCGCCTATGATACTCTGCCCGTGTAGAAAGTTACATTCTGAACCAAGATAGGCTCGATAGCAAAGGAAATAAATACTGGAATGGCAAAAACACAATATAAAGTTACTGTTTTGAAATGGACTGAAGACCAAGGCTTCACATATAAAAACAAATTACAACATCTTCTTAATGTTGGCATCCTGCTGTCAGGTTACAGTCAAATCATGAAAATACTCATCTCTTAATCAAAGTGTCTCACAAATGGATACAAAACACACACAATGCCCAAAATAACAACAAAAGAATAAAGAAAATGTGCCTTATAGGCCTGAAATCTGTGTGTGTAACAATGAAACATGGAATGATGAAGGAATCAGGAGAGTCTCTCTTTAGTGCCGTCCGATTCAAGGTGCCACACAGAAATGTTGCTGTTAGTTAAATTTGCATCATTTGAGCTTAAATCCTGAATATATGCGCGCACGCGCTCCCAAATATTTGAGTTACAAATGAAATAGTTTTGAGATACTTCTTCGTACATCCTTTGGTTACTGGGACCATCTTCCTAAAAAATATTTGTACATTTTGTTCCCTTCATACAAACAGGACACAGCAGTTTTCCTCCAAAGCGACTAACATCTAACAATTTAAAGTGCCGACGAGCTGAAGCAAACAGGAAGCACTGAGCTGGCGGCACAGGAAGATTTTCCTCACCTACGGCACGAGGGGTTTCTTCATGCAGGCTACTGCTAACCTACAGTAAACTAGTTCTTCTAACCACAGGAAACCTTGAAGTACCCAAAGTGCTTAGACATGATTCATAGAACAAAACATCAGCCTGTTGCAACTGGTGGAACATTCGAACTCCCAAACAATGTTGTAGCCTACAGCTTTTCCTGCATAAAAGCACATTTAAATATGCAACAGTGTGTTTAATGAGCACCACTTGCTGCAAGCTATGTCTCTAATACCAAACAAACAATACAGTCGAGTAATCAGCCTGATATCGCCGGTGACAAGAAATTCGATACCTTTTTATACGTTTATAACTTGCAGGTTTTTGATGCTCAGGTCTTAAAATGTTCAACACAGGAAAGACGTCGGTGCTGGTTAACACATGTAGTGCTATAGTCTGATTACTATAAAATATACTTCAGTTTAACTCAAAACTGCCTGCTCTTTATTTAGATGACTTCAACTTCAGGTAAGTGCCTTTTTTTTGTTTACAACGAAAGCCTTTTTAACGTTTGAGATACAAAGCAACAGACAATTACCTGATCATACTGCCCATCCCACACGATGTGCTAAAAGGTAGCCTTTCCCCTGTGTGTGCACCAGCTTCTTCAACATGCAGAAGGGAACGCCTGGACGTATTCTTAAAGTTAACATATACTTCATTTTACCTATTTCAGATTCATAAACAATAAAATTTACAAAACATGGACTAAAAATAATTGTTTTTTTTTCTTTGTTTGTTTTCTTTTTGATTTCTTTACAAAGTAGTAAACTACTCAGGTATTAAGAACAAATTAAAAACTTCCAGAATGGCATGCAGGGGTTGGTGGGCACCCCTGGCATAAACACAAGAGTCTATGAAGTTTTTCAATCGTGAGAAGTCGTGACCTGCCAGACGATGAGGTGACTCCGCTCGTTCTTGGCAGGCGCCGACTGCAGGCTGGCTGTCGATTCGGATAAACCATCCAACTCGCCTACTTCATCACCTGTGGAGAAGATGATGAGTAAGGTTGCTGGATGTAGTTGTGGAATCAATTGCAAAAGCCACATTTGTACAGGTCTAGAAAGTGGTCAGGGACCCGAGGGTAAAGGGGGTTGCTGGATGAAAGAAACAGTTGCTGACTGGCTGTTAGAGGTTACTTGAAGTTGCTAGTGTGAAATTGTTTACAAAGAGCTGTATGCTGCTGTAGTGAAAATCTCATTGCCATTGGTTTCATTACTAAAAGATCACCATGGTTGCCAGTAGTTTCCATGTTTCCTGAGTTGTCCACAAACTACTCACCAAGTGGCAGTGAAACTGTAAAAAGTACAACACAAACCAGAACCGGAGACATTTGGAACTTTTTAAATGTGTTGGTTTAAGCAGCCTGGCATAATTTTGACTTCAAAGGGAAACGTTGTCCATTTTTAATTTGCATCACAGTTTCTACAGAGTAAAAAGAAGTGATTCTCATCATGTCTGTCAGGTTCTCTTCCACTTCTCTTGCTCACGGTGTACCACAAGGTTCTGTTTTGGGGCCCTTAATGTTTCTGTAATATTTGCTTTGTGTTTAACACATTTTGAGAACTTCCTGAGCATTTCTTCTTACTGCTATGCAGATGACATTTGGCTGTATATGTTTTTTAAGCACAACTTATTTCTAAGATATAAATCTTACACAAATGCTCATGCTCATTTTGAATCTCTGGTTCACTCTTTCTTAAATCACTCCAGAAATATTGTTGAGTTCTAAATTGGAAAATGATTATTCATGCCATTTTTTCTTCATGTCTGGATTAGTGTAATTTATTGTTTACTTGTCTTTTCAAAACGTAAAACTTTTTGTTTTAATGCTTTAGCACTTTAAGTAACTGCTGCAATCTGCTAGCGACCATCGCAATCATAAAGAAATTTTTTATTCAGCACCCGCTTTGAGATCAATTTCACATGGCGACAGCCTTCAACCTCCAGCAACCACTTGCCTAACAGAGATCATACATTTTTCCTGGGGACTTGAGGTTGCCAGAGGTTTGCCAACCAGTCTTTAAGCCTGTGTGATTAAGGCCTAAAGCAAACATCATACCAGAAGGGACACATTCAAGCCTTTTACTCCAAAAAGTCTAGTAAACAGCTGTTTCTTTTCAGAATAAAAACCTCTGCTGTGTATAAATATACACTTGTACATGGATTGTGTTACACCCACCCATCCTGAAGTCAATGTAGCCTTCCCCTCCACTGATGACCAGGTAGGTTTTGGTCTCAGAAGTTGCTGTGTCAGAGGATTCAGATGCAGGGTCATCAGAGCCTGAATCTGCACCACCTGGAGGTGGCATCGCCTGACCTGTGACAGTTAATTTAAAGTATGAAGAAACTGAGAACAAAAGATAGTGTTTTAGGGACTCTTTCATTCTCTTGTTACTTTAGCTACCGATTACGTTCTCATTTAATGGTTTGTTTATGTAATCTATGACAAACTAGATCGTACAATTCATATCACTGATTCAACTGTGCTCTTTAGTTCAACAAACACTCACACTCATATTCTCTTTACAATCATAGAAAACTTCACATCAACTTCAACATGGCTGCTAATTTTCCTTTGATAATGGCTAACATTACCTAACATGTTCCCACAGATTCTCTGCACTTGTCTCTTACCTGGCACTGTCACAAAAAACTTGACAGCATCCCGGTGTCCGTGGAAACATAGTTGGGCGTGAGCCATGGAGCAGTATGGCACAAAGCTGCCTGGCATTGCACAGTCTGTCACAGAGCTGTCATCACCATAGACCCGTACAGCACTGCCCGGGCGATTTGGCACTGTTCCTGTTGTTCTGTTAGCTGAAGAATACAGTAAAGTGTCATCTGCCCACTTTATGTGCTTCTTTGAAAAAAGTGCTTTCATGGATAAACGAAAGCAGGAAAGTTGGAAGGTAAATGAAAACGGAAAAACAAACGAGGTCAAACAAAAACAGGTGAAGTTAGGAAACAGGTAAAACGCCAATCAAAAAAACAAAAATGCAAGACAAACTACCAAAAGATAAAAGTAGTTACAACAATTAATACCAGAAAAACTATGTAGATACAATATCACAGAAAGGAAGTCGGCAGAAGTGTATTTAAGAAGGGATTTAAATAAATCCTCACACCAGTTATTCCAAGGTCAAAGGGCTCATATTTCTGCTATGTAGCGTGGGGCCAGACCCAGATGTGCTTTAAAGGTGATAATCAAAATAATAAAATCAGGTCTGAGCATACAGGGAGCAAAAAGAAAGAAGCTAGGATTATCTGCAAAAACCAGTTATCGCAGTTATGGCCTGGTCTGAAACCAGTCTGTGACACAGGCAGTCGAACTGTATGTAGATCAAGTGAGTCAGAGCGCAGAGGAGCCTGTCTGCTAAATTCTGGAAGAACGCTTTATTCTCTGACCTCTAAGTAAAACCTAAAGTTAGAGGTTAAAGCAGACATAAGAACAGACCCTGATTATAAAAACACAGAGAACTGTACAGCCTTCACACAGACACTGATATAAAAGAAAGAAGATGGTGACAGGAAACGCAGGTACACCCTTGGAAAAGTTTTAATATTTAAAGAGAGCAGCACTCCCCAATATCTACTGAGAGCCCAGCTTTGAAGCATAAACCCATCAAACTGCACTATGTAAGCTATGTGAGACTTGTATCCATGGCAATGCCACTGTCTTTTACAGCACAGATACGCAGCGAGAAGAGACTGAGAATTTATGGATTTTAAGAGAGAAGGTGATGCTACACAATGACGGTCCCTGAGGCATCAGAATGGCCATCTGGGAGATGAGTTGAAATATGAAAGAAGAATAAAAGGAGACGGTGGAGGTAGCAGTGAGGGATTTGATATTAAGAACACGCCGCGCGTTTACGTAACTAATAGCATGCTTCAATTCAACCATATGCCAAATATGAATATATTTGTACTCAGGAATACTCAAAAATAAACAGTTTAACCTCACAACATCTCAGTTTTCCCACAGAATATTTAAATCATAAAGACTTGGACACTTTAAAATGATGAAACTAATGTTCTGCAATGCAAATAGAGCATAAAAGCTAACAGTATGTATTTATTCCTAATGCAGTAATGAGTTGAGTTCAGTGAATAAACACTGCTAAAAGAACATTTTGATGATGCATTGCTTTATGAAACAAAAGTGGACATTTAAGCAGGCAGCTGATGAGATTGTGCTGTACCTTCAGAGAGCGGGATGGAGATGATTACGCCATTTCCTGTACCCACCCACAGTCGGTTGCAGGATACGACAAGAGCGGTGATTCTCACAAATGAGAAACCCAATTTACCTGTACCTGCAACACACACAGAAGATGTTCGATCCAAGATCTGAAGAAGAAACGTTGCGACCTCCTAAACTGTTCAAAATATCACTCTACTACGTGTGTGTACAGAAAGTAAGCGCTGAATTCTACATGTATGTTGCCTTAGCGTTCATACATCAACTCTATCTAGGGATTATTTCCTATAAATGAGTGAGCATAAAACCAGAAGTCTGTTGAGATGATTTACAAAAGTGCTGATTAACTGCTAGGCAACAAACAGTTTGTATACCCAGCATCTTGCTGACATAGGGCTCAATGTCCACATCCTGGAGGTGCTGGTAGGTGTGGGCGTGAAACAAGCGTAGAGTTGAATCCAGTCGGATGGACACCCAGATGCCGTCTCCAACCCAGGCCAGCTGCCGTACCTGGCTCTCCTTCCGAGGATGAGCGTCAAAGGATTTCTGCAAGGGCGCGATAGATTGCAATTGCGTAATGTTAGAAGTAAATTGGGATGTTCCCATGACAACAATAAGGTTTAATTGGTTGAAGTTGACTGGAACAGAAAAATAACTTGCACAACATATGGTTTATTAACTTTCAATGACAGCTGTACCTCTATCCTCATGGCCTTTGGCTGGATGACGTAGATCTTGTTTCTGTAGCCGCACCAAACGTTATCGTGGACTACGGTCATACAGCGGATAGAGTGGTGGGGCCGGCCCAGATCCAGCAGATGGTAGTTGGTTAGATCCCACTGTCCGTCTGCTTGGAAGAAACAAGAAGACTTTGGCAATTTGTGGCATAAAATTAGTCGTGGCTCAGTCACACTACAGTGAAAATAAGACGGCAACCACCCTGTGACTAGCAAAAACCACTGGTTGGCTGCTGATGAACCGGACTTTTTGCTGTCGGAGACCGACTGCAAGCAGTCTAAGTTACAGACTTACCAATGCCTCTGTGGAAAATTGCTAATGTCCCATCAGCCAGTGCTACCAGGACCCTCCCTTTAACATGCCTGCAACAGGTTATGAAGACACTTTTAAAAGTATGTTTATTAGTCTATTTTTAAATGTTCATTTGTTGTGTGTGTGCAAGTCCTTAAATAAAAACACAACCAACTTTTTACTCACACTATGCTGAGGATCGAGTCTTTCAGTTTGATGGCATGAAGACATTTCCTCCACCGAGCCACAGACGAGTGGACGTACAGACTAAAGACAGGAAAGTCGAGCAGAGGAAAACTCCTGATTATCAACTAAATAAAGACATGAAAATGTAACCGAATGATTAAACACTATGACAAAAACACAGCCGCTGATAAATAAATAAACACCAAAATCAGCATGATAACCAAAAGCAAATTTTCTCCATGAAGTTACAACCTCATCAAATTTTCTCCTCCTTTTTCCCCTGAACTAATAGCTCCCTCTAGTGGCTGCTGCCTCACTTACCACCCATTCTGAGCACCGAGCCACATGGTGGGAAGTGCACTGCTCATCCTCAGGACCTCAGTCTCTGATGGGTCCGAGTCTTCTGCCAGAGAAGTCACCCCATCCTGTCTGGATCCCCTGGATAATGGAAAACAGTCCTTCATTAAGAAAACATGGAGTAAACACGTGCAGCCGAGTTTCCACAGCTGCTCTTATGGTTTCCTCTGTAAGCTAAAAATACCAGTGCTTTTATTTTGCAACAGCAAGTTTAGGCTGTTTTATTTTTAAGGTGTGTAAATTAATGTCTGGACATAATTCTTCTAGGGTTCATACATTTCAAGATTTTAAATTTGCAATTGTCATATATGCCTTAAAAATCTTAAGAATTGACTAAAGCATCTACCAATATTCACTCTCACCTCTGTGATTCAGCAACTAAGGAGTCAGTGGGTTCCACCCCGAGTGGGTCGGTGAACACGTGCTCCGTGTAGATTCCTGGCTGGTTTTGGTCAGCCCCCTGATCTTCCTCTCCTTCTTCGCCCACGCCAGCATTAGCCTCCGTTGCTTCTGTTGCCTCTTCCGCTGTGGGAACCCCATCTTCTGCTGGACTGGTCTCTCTGGACAACTCAACAGTGGGAGCTGTGGATCACAGCACAGCACAGCTGTCAAACCACACATACTGTACTCTATCTAAACATTTTTTTTAGTAGAGAACTACCAGAGGCTGAGGTGGCGCTGTGCTCAGCTGGCTGGTCGGCAACACCTGCACTAGCTGTCTGGGGAATGGCAGTGGTGCCCTCGGCTGCAGAGGCGCTATCGCTGCCTGCTGAGCCTACACTGGCCACGCTGCCAGCCAGTGACGCCGCATCCCCTTGGCTGGACTCCAGGTCTTGGGGTACAGCTTCACCTGCTGGATAATCAGTTTCCAACACACCTGACAAAACACCACAAATGACCCAGTAAGAAAAATAATTTTTACCCCAACAAACACAAAGCGTGACCACTGGACCTACCTGGCACACTGGCGATGCAGACAATGTGAGTGTTGCAGGCGTAGAAGCTGTCGAGCAGGTCAGAGGGCTGAGTGGCATCCAGAACCATAACCTTGGTGGAGGAGTGGGTGCTAGTGCACACCCACACACGACTGGACATCTCATCCTGAACAATCAGCTCCTTCTCTTTCTCCCCTTTTTCCCGATCCTTACAGCAACGTAACACATTAGCGAATCGACTCAAAGTATAAAACATAAAGAACTATCAGAAGTCACAACTGCCTCCAAAGAGCTTCTTCCTTCCTTAAACTACTCACCTTACTCTCCTGCTCCAGCTGATCCAAGCTGCTCTGAGAACCCTTTGTCTGCTTAGAAAGCTCTGATGAGGAAAATGCCCGACCCCCGGACAGGTTGACCCCGGCAGCGCACCACAGCTGTGGGACAGAAAGAGCTTGTTAGAAACATCAAAATGTTAAAATATAACAACAATATCCTGCATGTATGCTTAGAGTTGTCTATTCATTCATTTAAGCACCTTCATAGAAGCATCTTTCTGGTCCAGAGGTCTCAAGTAAACCGGCACAGGTAAGTTCATTTTGTTTTCCACTTGTCCACCGTTTGCTACCTGTGATGGTAGAACAGTCAAAACTTAAATATTGTAAATAAAGTTTATTTTAAGACTTTTAAAACCACTACTTTTAAATTTTCTCAGGTGAACATGAACACAGGGCTGGAACAGACAAAGGATACACCTTATTATGCTGCACAGGATATGCTGGCCATTTAAAATAAACGATTTCTTCTTCTAAAGCGAACAAAGCAAAATAAAAAGTGCCGATCGCATCTCTGACCTAATGCAAAGCAATTTTTTCATTTCCCACCTTGTATTTGCTGGGCAGGCTCCAGCCATGCGCAGTGACTCGTCCGTCCTCCTTCTGCACGTGAGCCTTGACCTGTCTGTACTGGCTTCTCTTCTGCTCTTTACGTGATGGAGAACTGCACTGTTCCTTACTAAAGGGAGAACCACGAGAGACACAAAGCCATCAGCTGATAATACATTTTATAGACAGGTGCATTAATGAATTTCCAACTTGGTAAAATCCACAGAACTCAAAGTCACACGTCCTCATTACTTACTCTTCATTGAGGAAGTCAAATGTCTTGGACTTCTCCGTGGGGAACTGGGAGAAAGTGCTGCTCCTCTTCACCGTGCTGCCCGGAGTGCTGTACTTCGTATTGGACTGGGATTCAAACTTTACGGCAGGGGCACTGGAGGAGGAGCTAAACAGTCTGCTGAAGCTGCACGTGGCGAAGTTACAGAAAGCCAAGAGGGAAACAGAGCCGACAGGAGCGCAGGGAAAGAGCAAGGCAGGGGTGTCACCAACAAACCAGACAATCAAGGAACTACCACCAACATTTACTGTACAGTGACATAAAGCATGCTGGGAGTCAAAGTAGAGCTAAGCACTCCCCTATTATATCTAACTAAAACTTAACTAATATACACTCACCAGCTACTTTATAAAGCATGTCTGTTCAACTGCTTGTAAACAAAACCATCTAATCAGCCAATCACATCGCAGCAGGTCAGTGCATTTAGGCATGTAGATGTGGTCAAGATGACCCGCTGAACTTCAAACTGAGCATCAGGGTGCAGAAGAAAGTAATTAAAGTGACTGTGAATGTGGCTGTTGTGGTTGTTGGTGTCACACAAGTTGGTCTGAGTATTTGAGAAACTGCTGATCTACTGAAATTTTCCCAACAACCATTTCTATGGTGAACTCAAATAACAACTCATTATAACCGAGGTATGCAGAAGAGCATCTGTGAATGCACAAGATGTTCAACCTTGAAGCAGATAGGCAAGAACAGCAGCAGCAGAAACCACATCGGGTACCACCTCTGTCAGTGAAAAACAGGAAAGGCTCAACAAAACTGGACAATGAAATAATGGAAAAAAGTTGCCTGGTCTGATGTCTCGAGCTGTGCTGCTATATTTAGATAGTAGGGTCACAATTTGGCTAAACACCATGAAAGCACAAAGCCATCCTGCCTTGTATCAATGCTTCAGGCTGCTGAAGCATTGACACAATCTTGTTGGATCTGAAGGCAAAAAGTGGTCCAAATCGATACTAGTAGGGTATACCTAATAAAGTGACCAGTGAGTGTGAATTTGTACAATATATAAGACAAAGATACATGCTTAAAGCCTGTTTTATTACTGCAGAACGATATCGTACTGCTTTTTGATTTTTCTTTCAGATTTTTGAGAATATGTTAAAAAGCTACAGAGGTGAGCTTACCAAGGCTAAGGACGGCAATTTAGATATTAAAATTCCGCAATAATAGAAATCAAATCTACCGACTTGCATGTGCAGTCTGACGTGGTAGACATAAGCAACACAACATGTACATATACTCGTATATGTAGTTTCCCTTTGCTCGCTATGAGCAGACAGAGTAAGGAAAACATCAAAAGGCACACAGCAGGCAGGAGACAGGAAAGTCCGGGGGCAAAAGGAGAGTAACATCTGAGCAGTTTGTCATAACAACAACTGATGCACTGCACTGAGAGCAAAGATTATGGATAAAGACACATCAAAGTTGGATCCTTTCAGAATGGAGGAGCACTTCTGTGTTAAACGGGGGTAGGGTAGGAGAGAGGTTTAGTGGGGAGGTCTGTCAAATCATCTTTACCTAATGCTGCCAATTCAATGGCACATCCCGGAAAAGATAAGAAAAAAGATGTATTTGAATATTTGAATGACAAAAAAAGTCAGGATTCAACTTGGAAGGCAACGTGGCAGCCCTATCAAAACTAAAAGACAAACAGTAAATAATGCAGTAAATCCAAAAAGACTCACAACTGCCAGATGCTGGATTTCTTTTTTTCTGAGATAGTTGGATTTTCCCTTGAAGCCCTAAAGAAGAGAAGACGACAATCTTTAACAATCTTTAGTTTATGTGTCCGGATATGTTGATATATGTTTTTTTATATGTATAACACAAAGTTATAACCCTAACAAAACATCAAATGCACTTTGCTCCATCCGTCCACCACTCATTGCTTCATCACCTGATCATCTCAGTCCACCGCACAGCTTCCTGCAGCTCCATAAGTCGCTCTTTGTACTGGTTCCTCTCCATCAGCACTCGGGCCATCTCCACTCTGGTGAAACGCTTCTTCTGAGCCGTAGGTAAATCACTCTGTACCGGCACACAATTAAACCCAAACATGACCACACAGAAATGCATGAATTCTACCAAATAAATGAGCCACACAACAGACACAGGATACAGGACTCACCTCTTCTTCTTCGTTAGCTTTATGTTTTGCTTCCTCCATCTCCAGGCGTACTCTGGGAAATATAAGTTTTTACACAAATGTCTATAGGAAATGGGCGTAGCCAGAGTTTCTATTTGGAGAGATACCATTAGGCACTCGCCAAGCAGAGACTCCTGCTACTTAGCTCCAATAGCACAGTAGTAAAGTGTGTCAGCGAGGATTTATACTTTGCGACCGACAGTGAATTACCTGCAGCAGCGTGCTTCATCGTCCTTGTGACTAAAGACAGAAACTAAACATCACAGATTCCTCTCATAGCTCTTACTTTTTGAGTTCCTCCTCCAGCTCTTTGTTCTTTTCCTCCAGCTTGGATTTTGCCTGCAGCAAAGCCTCCAGATCTCCCTCCAACATCTCCTTCTCACTTGTCAGTTCGTCGACTTTCTGAATCAAGTCTTTATTCACCACATTCAAGGCGTTCCTGGAAGGACATTTTAGTACGTTTGTTTTTTAATCTCTGTTTTCAAGACAAAAGGCAGCTTAAACAAAGGATTCAGTGATTCTAAAACTTACACTGAAATCATGAATTTCAAAAGTCAGTAATATAGTGCTGCATGTCCAATCAGGACACAGTGATCCAAAAACCAAAAAACAGTTCTTAAAGGTACAGTGTGTAAAATTTCACCCCATAGATGTCAGTGGGTTGCAGTCAACTGAATTCTGTTTTTTTAATTATCCCAATTGAAGTGCATAATCCTAGCTAGGACAGCTACTGTAGGGCAGACATGTTTTAGTCAGCCAAGAGAGATCAAAAACATTAAATCTAGGCTGTATGCCATAATAGCCGTGGCCTGCCAGCGTGTTTCTACTACTGTTTGTGTAAGAAAAAAAATCCTCTTTAATAGTCATTATTTCTTTTAATATATTTGAATTTGATCAACACTTACCAATAAATTAAGAAATTCAAAAGTGGATATGTGTTGGTAAATACTTCTATTCTAGGTATTCTATGCTGTTATGCCTGAGTCACCTCAAAAACTCTTGCCACTGTTAATCTATCGTCAGTGTACTCTGATAGCAAAGTGACTCTGGGACCTTTTTGCTATTTTGGGTAGGCTGTCCACTGTTACCTTGTTAGCTAAATTTCCTTCACTTTTCTGTCAGTAAGCTCTGCTGTTAGCCTCTGTTAGCAGCTGTTAGCCTCTGTTAGCAGCTGTTAAAATCTGTTAGCAGCTGTTAGTGAAACATTCCTTAAACAAGATCTCACATTGTTGAACTCGGACACCTAGCGAGTAAACTCTCATACAATGTGAAAATGTCATCAGACTGTTTATCAAAGGAAGTGTTTATTAAGCCTAATATTATCTGACATAATGATAGCTTATAAACAGCTGCTGCTCTTCTAGAGAAGAGAGAGTCTAATCTGCTGACAGTAATAATTAAACAGGCATGCACATTTTCATGTGTTAGGGCTCTGACTTCAGTTCATGACTCTTTGTACCATCCATCCATCCATCCACTTCCGCTTATCCTTTTCAGGGTCGTGGGGGGTGCTGGAGCCTATCCCAGCTGTCATAGGGCGAGAGGCGGGGTACACCCTGGACAGGTCGCCAGTCTGTCGCAAGGCTAACACACAGGGACAAACAACCATTCGCACTCACATTCATTTGCACATTCACACCTAGTGACAATTTGTATTATCCAATTAACCTATCCCCACAAGCTGCATGTCTTTGGACGGTGGGAGGAAGCCGGAGTACCCGGAGGGAACCCACGCAAACACGGGGAGAACATGCAAACTCCACACAGAAAGACCCCGGCCTGATGTTGGAATTGAACTCAGGACCTTCTTGCTGTGCGGCAACAGTGCTAACCACCGTGCCACCGTGCTGCCCTGACTCTTTGTACCTTTCGTGTACAAATTCACACGAAAGGACTCTTTGTACCTTTCGTGTGAATGTGCAGACATGAATTAAAAATCTGACTCCATGGCACTCGAACATCTAAGAGTTCTCCTTCACCTTTTTCTTTGTTTGTGGCTGGTCTCTAGCAACATACACAACTCAGCGATTAGGCAGAAGAGAGAAGTCCATTTCCACCATTGTATTCAAGATGGTGGGGGGAACATGGTGACCACTAAAATGTGGCACTCACTCCTATGTATTTTTTAAGGCTTAATTCTACGTTATGAGAATACATCAATATGTTAAACGACAGTATTAGATACTAATCAATGGATGTTTGTGGGTGCAATATTTTCAACATTGCTTTTTTCCTCTTAATGATCTCCAACAATAAAACAAAAACATTTAAAAAACTAAAACAAACCAAATTTAGAGAGAGTCATTACAGCCCTACAAAGGATGAAGAAATGGATATTAAATTCTACTTACTTGGTCTCAAGCAGTTGTGAATTCTCCATAATTAGATTTTCAACTTCCCGGCCCATTCCTGAACAGAATTAAAAAACAACATTATAATTTTATCACCTAACAAATCTGAATTGAACACAAACTGGATTTGTCACTACTTTAACACTACATATAAAGAAGTACACTATTCACACTAAGAATAAATCCAACCAGGCATGACGTTGGACATGAAATATCTCCTAGTGAGATATTTGTTACTGTAGGTCTCACAGCACATGAAACTACCGCAACGCACAAACCCACAGCACAACATGTCACATGACAGACATGAGAAGAATGGAAAGAGTGGGTGAGGTCTTACCAATCAAACTAAGGTCTGAGAATACCATGCAATCCAAGCCAGGCGGAAAAAGAGTAGGGAAGAGAGAGAGAGAAATGCGGATATAGTTTGAGACAGTGAAATGACCAAAATGATGAAGGAGCCAGAGCTGAATGTGTAGCTGCTGACTCCACAAGCAAAAAGGAAGAGATGCTGTAAAATCTCTAAAGATAACATACATTTGACATTTTCGGCACTCAAGAGAAGAAAAGTACAAGAGCAAAAAAATTAATGAAAAAAATAAAAGCTGTATAAAGATCAATTAGGCCAAAAAAGGAAGCACTACACTCCATCATTCATGCACCAAAATCTTTTTGAAGTAGTAGGCAGACGAAAATATATTAATGTACCCTAATATAAGACGCAATGAAGAAGAACCTTTAACAATGGTGGATGTGGAAAGAATGAGTAATGGGTAAAGGTCAAAGGAACTTTACAGAAAAATGTTTAGCTAAGGAAAGGTTGGAGGTCATACACACCAGAGTACTCCACTTGGATTATGGACAAAAGCCAGAGAATGAGACACGGGAGAGAGAGAGGTGATGTTAACATGGGTAGATGGCTAACACTTTGTACAACAGCTGGACCAAAGCAAGCGGTGTAGCGTCGCAGAAAACAGCTGGTGTTGAAGTTACAATGAATTTAAAGAAAGTAGAACAACATCTGCTAGTAAAGTATCGAAGTGGGAATTCAGCAGATCACCTTTAAGACCTTTTAGAAAGAAAATAAGCAGTGATTATAAAGAAGTATTCAGGCTTCTTACAGAATCATTCAGCATGTATTTCACCTCTGGCTTTTAAGATTTCAGTATTTTTTCTTTACATATCTGACATTGAAATGTACACCTTTACATAGTATATCTGTCAAACATCTGAAAAACATCAAAAATGTAGCTTTTATGTGACCTTTTCTACATAATACTCTCGGACTAACCAATCCACTTTTTTTCAGTCACTTTTATGTAAAGTTTTCACTCACCTAAAAGATCAGCTCCTTCGTCCACGTCCCCGATGAGCCCGGTGCCTGCAGAGGACAGCTCCTCAAACAGGGAGTCTGTATTGCGGTCAAATGCCATGTTTTCAATGCCTTTAGTAGGAGTGCTGACAAAAGAAAGAACAATAGGAGGTCGTGTTTTTTGCCTGATGGATCTTTCATTTAAAAAAGAAAAACACCCCCAAAAGGTCCTCTTTGTATTACCTGCAGGGTCTGTACCCAATGAGATCCATGTCCAGCTCAGGGGTGGACTCAATGATGTCCTTCACATCTGAGCTGTCTTCATTTTCAGGCTGACCTGCAAAGCACACAAGCATAGATGATATAGATCAGAAGGAAGGATATGCAAGTAAACATCATAATGTTTTTGTGGTGTTGTTTTGTAAACCTGAACATAAGAGTATTAGAATATGTGACCCTACCTACTGATATGCTTCTGGTCCCTGGAGCAGCTTGCACCTCTGTGCTCTTACTGTTCCCATCTTCCCTCTCCATGTCCGAGGCAGTGGTTGACATCGGTGTGGCCGACTTGGAGCCGGTGAAGTCTGATAGCTCATCCTGTAATGAAAAGTGATTCATTTACAACAACAAAGCGATGCCTTAACTGAAGCTGTACCAAAATAGAAAATAAACCAAAGATAGAGCTGACACAGAAACAGAAGCAGCAAGAGTCCAATTTCTCTCCGCTCTTACATTATGTAGAGGGCACTTTTCACAAAGTAAAAATCCTCAACTACCGAGCTTTTTTTTACCAACTTCTTATAAGGTGAAAGAAAAAAATCACACTTACACCACAAAGATCTGACACACTATCCTATATGAGATTATATTAGTGAAATTGGAGCACAACAAAACACAGATAATCACATATAAATGAATTATACTGGAAACACTAAACGTTGCGAATGGACTGAGGAGAGCTTTCTGGCTGGATGCAAAGAGACAATATGAGCAACACAGAAAGTGGCACGCAAACACAACGTCCAAAAAACACGACACAGACTGCAGAAGGCTTCAAACAACATTTACTGAACATAAATAAGGACAACAACAGGAGCTACTGCTAGTTTACTAAACTCTAGTAAACTACACAAATCCCACGAAAATCCAAAAACTAATAATACATAACTACAGCAGTAAGTGACAGATGAAATGTACGCTAATGTAAAATGAGTGATTAGTAATGTTTGAAGAGCTACATAAATACAGCAAAAATAAAGTCAAATATATACAACTCATGCATTTTACCCAAAATCAAAAACAAACTGGAGGCCAGATGCAACCAAGCTGCTATTGACTTTTGCACATTAATAATTAACCAGCTCCATATGTGCACTTTTATTTTGAAAGATCCCAATGAGGCCTTCAGACATGGTTGCATATAGCACAGCTGGTCTGTGACGTGAGAGTCTACAAATGCACAAAGCAACGTGTTTGAAAAGATGAAACAGCATAGTGGAGCAAACTACAGAAGCCCAGACACACGCAAACATAAACTGTGCTGCGCACGGCCAGTGCAGGAGCGCTGCTGCTCGTACCAGCCGCCACTCATCCAACTACCTTGCAGTCGTCTGCCAGTGAATTCCCCCAAGTAGAGTCCTGCGCACTCTTACCCTCCCTTTCCTTTGGGGGGTCACCATAGTCCAACTGCTTGGGGGAGGGGGAAGAGTAAGAATGCAGCTCACAAGTGCAGAAGCAGTTCAACAGAAATGCAAACACCTCATAGTGTGCATGTCTGTGAAGTGAATGGGACAGTTCATACATACAAATAAGCATGTGTGTGTGAGTGCATGTGTGATTATAGTTTATAGATCATCAACAAGCAACAGATGAGTCTTTAGTCAAGTCAAATCAGCGTTTATTGTTTTGTAAATCTCTTTCCTACGGTGGCCCTGAGAGGTCAAATGCACTTAAGCAAATATCGTCCAATAGAAAAAATGTTGCAGAAGGACAAAAAACACAACAGAAGTTAAATGAAACAAAACTGAAGTGTTTCTGGGGACACAATAACGTAATTGTGTGATTCTTATAATGCTGCAGATACATGTTCACTATTAACCGCTAACTGTTAGCTTGTCACTTTTGTGAGCTTTTGTTCTTCCGTTGTGTTATGTGTGCTTTTGTCATTTTCAGTGTTAGAGTTCTTGAAGTGCAGTGCATTTGACCTCTCAGGGCCACTGTACTTTCTGTATAGAATCAAAATAGGTTTTGACTAATGACATGTTGCAAAGCTAAAACTATTTGTGCAGGAAGTCAGAAATAGTAATAGTAAAACAATTGTTTAGTTATGAAAAGTACACAAATATATTTATATTGATTCAATTTTTTTCAGTTTTTGTATTTTATAATTTCAGCACTTACATATTACATTACAGTAATATTACATATGAATCATTTTAATTCTTTTGTTTATTTAAGCGCTCCCCTTGAATGAAGTAAAATGCAATGACGCAGAAACATAATTATGCCAGTTTCAGAGCTAAGATGAAATGGTTTTACTTAAATGACTAATGTGGAAACTAGATCATGGCCAGCACATGCAGGTCATTAACCTGTCGTTTGCTTTTCGCTCACCTCTGCAGCACCTCGCGCTCCCATAAATAAACATGACATCGCTCCTGAACTCTGACGCCATGTTTGCATATCAAAGACACCCATGTTCAAAAGGCGGTGGCTTAGCAATAACCGCCCTGTAGCTCTGATTACATAAGGCCCCATCACAATCCAGCCAGCCTCTTTTTTCCTCCCTCTCTCAGTGACTGGCTGCACGCCATACAGCGGCATCATTCCCAGAATGCACTGCGCCGCAGAGCTGGTGTCCCAGTTTTAACAAAAACGCAGCAGTGCAATGTAATAACATTGTCACCCTGCAGGTTCTGACTGCCACAGATACAAACACCGCTGACATGCCCATCAAGTACCCAAGTGACTTTAAGGAGCATCAACACCATTATATTGTGGATATATATAAAATATATATTTTTGTTTCCCCACTTAAAACACGAATTAAATGAACTGTAAATACTGAATAAAATAACACATAAAAATGTGTTATTTGTACCTGCAGAAAACGTTTATAAATATTCATGTGACACATTTAATGATCTCCTCTGATTGCTACACCAGGGGAAGTCTGCATATTCATCAATGGCTAAAGAAGAGTCTAGAAACAGAGGGCGCCTTGTTAGATGCCTGCATAAAAAACACATAAGCACACCCGAGCCTTATCAAAGGCTCTCTATTTATAAAGGGACTCGAAGCTTAAAAACCCTATTCTATCTTCTATTTTCGACCTCTGGCAAAACCACCACAAACAGGAAATCCAATTAGAGCGATCATATCATTCTCCATAATGCCAGTGTTTTTTAATAATACAGCAAAAGCACTAATTAAATAATCAATTATTAATTTTCAATTTGAATCAAGTGATGTCATTATTTAAGATTTTTCATTTCACTTGCTTTTCTTTTATTTAACATGACCTGGACGACAGCCTTCAGCTTATTTATGGAAAAGATGCTTTAAGAAGCAGAAATTAGATATGTTGGCCTTTTACATCCAGACTTCATAGACGAGGCATGAATGTGTCTTCTACACATCGGTTTTCTGGCTGACATAACGTGGCCTGAACCAGACACAGGTTTATTCTCTAAGGATAGATCACAAGGTGGGTACGACCCACACACCCACCTTGAGACTTGTGTTGGAGCGAGGCTGCGATGAGTCAGTGAACCTCCAGCTCTCTGTGCCCAGTGTCTCTGCTCTGGCCTGAGGATCTGGGATGAGCAGAGACGCTCCGCCAGATGATGGGAAGATTCCCAAAGAAAGAGGTCGCTCTCTCCTTGGGAGATTAAAAAAAAATTATAAAACGTCCCTTTTTATTGGAGAACAGACCACAAACGCTGCCTGTCGATGACGTGTGATATGAAAGTGGCTTGGCAAACAAACTTATGCGCTCTCACCTGACTCGGCCGACTGCGCTCGACTCGGAGGTCTCGCTGATCTGTTGCATTTTGATCCTCTCCACGTGCTCCATGTAATTATGGATCATCTGCAGAATTCAAAGCAAAAACACCCAAAAGGGAGCTAGTTAGTCATGACCACTGTTCAGAGTTACGCTCCGCGCCTCCCTTTCTCTCTAACCTACCTCTGTGTGCCGCTGATGGAGGGAGTTGTATTCCTTCTTCAGGTCCAGCTCTCGTTCTTCTAACCTGCCAACTGAAACAAAGGAAGGCCCTCATCAGTCTCAGCTACTTTACAACCAGCTTATAGACTTTAAATCACTTGTTAAATACTTCAGAACCTCACTGTCACATTACTGTAATTCTTCAACGTGATCATTAGGTTTTTGCATGTGTATGACAGTCATACGTAAAAAGGCGTGCAGTTTTTCTCTGCTATGCAGTATAGGGGGGCTGGGGGTGGGGGGGTAATCGCACCCAAATAGTTTTCAGCACTGGGCGCCTTACGAAGTGACAAAAACATCTAATCCCTTATTAGCACATCAGGTTTAGCCTAAGCCACGCAGCGAGCTGCTGCAACAGACGGGTTTAAAGCTATCAGATACTATCAATTACAACAGCTAAAGCTTCTGTGTGTTGTGCGATGATGCCTTGCCAGTGTGTACTTTGACACTATCGAGCAATTTTATTCTGCAGTCATGAGTCATCACATTCCTAGATCCCAGTAATAAAATGAAGAAAGAAAAGCTGTGCAGGGGGACAGCTGAAGCTTCTCGCAATCCTTGATGAGTGTGTGTGTGTGTGTGTGTGTGTGTGTGTGTGTGTGTGTGTGTGTGTGTGTGTGTGTGTGTGTGTGTGTGTGTGTGTATGTGTGTGTGTTGTTTTATAAAGTAATCACTGGGTGGAGAAGAAGCTGAATGTAAGGCCATAAGCCTGACTGGATTTATGAGTCATTTAGCCTAAAATCCTGAAATGCATACCAAATGAACAGTTTACATGTCAAAAAGCAAACAGCATCATCCACTGTGAAGCTCTACACTCAAAAAACGTTTTGGCCGAAATGCTCATTTTAACTAACTTAATTTTGTTACATATGAACAATTTAAAAGGTTAAATTTAACAAATCTGGTCTGATTAAATTTGCTTGATTGGTAAACATTCAGTTTATACCAAGCACATTCTTCTTAGTGATTCCATATTAATGTTGAATTATTTGAATAGGTAAACCTTTGATTTTATTTGTTTCAGCTGCTTTTATTCAAAATATTGCTTCATGTTGACTGAAAGTTAAAAATCTTTTTTTAAGTATAAAGCATGACTTGTTTAAAACTTCCTCATCAGGCTGTTACTCTGCTGGATTCTTTATTAATCAATTAAATCTGAATTCCCCAAACTCAGCTCCAATCTCTTAATTATTGATCTTTTCCGTGTCAGGCCAGTGAAACTAAAGCACTAACATTATCTAAGCTATACTGCTGTTGCCTAACTTCTTGCTGCAACTGCGGCCGTTTAACTCAGTGGACTCGGATTTAAAGCACCTCAATGAATGAATGATTTACCATTTACTGGGAGTGGCAGCAAATTAGCTGAACCTACTGAGCAGGAATCATTCTCTCAAACAGCAATCACAACAAAGCAATAACCGATAAATAATTCACTTTTGATTTTCCACATCACACCAGCCACTGGGATACTTATGTTTGCCTTGTTAAAGCTTCTGCTGTAAGTCAGATTCGGAAAGAAATTCCTGTTTTCTTCCCACTCGCAGCTTTGTGTGAATGAATGATTTGCTTTAACCAGCCAGCTACTTAGTCACCAGATACTGGACCAGTCATTGTGTGAATCCCCTCTTTTTTTCTGACAAGACAGAATGTATGAACCAATCGCTTCCCCTCTACCTCTTAATCCACCCATAAGATGGGCGGGTAATGTACTGCCGCATTAGGAGGATGGGAATAACAGAAATCCTTTAATCCCATTACTGTTACCCCCGCAAAGATGAAGAAAGAGAGCGTGAGAGTCTGCATAGTTAATGTGTGCATACATATCAAGCCATGAGAGGAAGGAGATAGTAAGGGAGTGAAAAATAGACTAACTGCAGGAACTGAAACAGACAGAATTATTTATAATAGCGATGAGATTTCATCTCAGCGCATGGATGCTGACAGACATGGAAGTTTTTTTTGAAAGCACGTACACAATAATATAAGCGCATGTGCATGAATGTGTGTTTTTGCTCACTCTGGTCTGCATAGTTCTTGATTTTGAGCTCCAGTTGGCGGGAGTGGGACTCCATCCGGTCCACATGGCTCTGCAGGTCCTTCTTCTCCTGCTCATGAGTGTCTTCAAATTCGATGAACTTCTACACACACACACAAACACAGTTTTGTTGGACTCACTGACACTTAATGCAAAACATAACAAAGCTGGTTTGTCAGCAGTCTGATCTTGTTTGATGCTTGTTTTGCAATACGAAAAAAAAAGACGCCGTTCCTAAATTTGGGCGTTCTATTTTTACATGACAGTAATGAAACCAAATGAGGAATTCTGCCCCACTGCAAAATGCATGTTTGAAATAGTAATTTGGTCACTGTATTTAGAATAAAAACTCTATTATAAATACAATTTAGTTGTTTTACAGCAGCGGTCCCCAACCGCCTCGGACCGGTACCGGTCCGTGAGTCGTTTGGTTGAGGCTCAGGTGTGAAATGTATGGTTTTCAGGGTTTTTATCGGTTTTCAGCGTTATTTTGTTATCGTTTTTATCGTTTACTCGGTTTTCCTGGGTCTTTTCACGTGTGTTATGAATAAATCTTCTTTTTTTCGGTACCGGTACTAGTTTTATTTTGTTGTATTTATCCGCGACACCTTAAAGGCCGGTCCGTGAAAATATTGTCGGGCATAAACCGGTCTGTGGCGCAAAAAAGGTTGGGGACCGCTGTTTTACAGTATTAACATTTAGGAAAACTGATGTGACGCGTACAAATATAACTGTGGCTTCTGAAAATGAAGGACATATCTCTGGATCCCTAAAAGTATTAATGGTCCTACGACTGTGACAGATTATCAAATGTGTCTTGAGTCTGATCTGCAGTGCCGCTTCCTCCCAGTTTCCTTATAGGCCGGCCTCTGAAAATGCACTTTTGTTTATGTGTGTGTATCAACGTCCACATCCTGTCCAGCTTAGCAAGCCAAGGCCCTGACGTGGCTCTCTTCCTTCCTGTGGGCACAGGAATCTTACCCTACTTTGATGTACAAGCAGATGCAGGAAACTTCCTTGCAAAGACATAATTTAGCTTATACTCAGTGATCGACCCAAATGACACTCTTTTTCATCAGTAGCAGCCTGCTTGCCGTGGTTTTAAGGGAGTCGCTACTGTGTTTTTGAAGGTATGAATTACATAGAAGTGAAATTTAAGGTAATTACTATGGATCTTAAACTGGAAATCTACTAGTAAATTAAAATAAAATAAAAGTAAAAGAAAGTGGTAGAAATATGAGGAATCATGAAAAGTTTCAAGCATGAACATTTGCTGACATTCTCAGTCTTCCATATTAGCAGTACAGTAGTACCATAGAAGGCCTGTTTCTTCCAGGATTATTCCTGTATAAAGGAAGTTTTTCCTTCCCACTGTCGCCAAGTGCTTGCTCAAAAGGCATTAATTTCATTGTCAGGGTTTACTCTGTATTATTGTCCAGTCTTTACATTACATCAACACCAGAACTCCAGAAACAACCAATAAAATTAGTTTAGTTAATACTGCCCAGGGATGGCAGAAGGAAATTAGCTAGTAACTAATAAGGAATAATAGAAATAATCAGTCACGCTGGACCTAAGATAAAGCAGTAACTATGTGTGAGACAATTAAAACACCAGCTTCCTGTTTGTGAAGATATGATAGAAAGTATTCCCGCAGCAAACAACATCAACAGTGCAGATCAGACACACCCAAGAAATTTAAAGATGATGCAAATAAGTTTTAATGGGCTGAACTGCTGCCTTAGATGTAATTAAAGTTAAAGATATTCTCACAGCCGTCTGCTTTATTCTGCTTCATTTTTCAAGATTATCTTCAATTTAAATCAGAGTTTAGTGGAAACAGGCTCGCAAACACATCACAGCAGACAGGAATGTGCTGCTATCCTTTTTTACCTGTTATGAAACAATGAAGGAGCGGGTAAAAGGTGTCATTAAAAACGACTTCCAAAAACAGAAATGTCACACCCTTCATCGGTCTGATAAAATGGGTGGGAAGGAGGGCAGTCTGTTGACACTGAAACCCAAGACAAAAACAAAAGAAAAGCAGAAATGAAAGCTGAAGGATGTTCCCCTCTTCTCACAAAGGATCACATGACCTGGAAGTAACACTGTGCCTTCCCAGGAGGCTCAGCGTACCCCTGCTCACTCCTCCTCGGGGCTTTAGATAAAGAGTCCTACCCAGGAAACCGGCTTATTGTTTCTGTGTCTATTTAAAACACATTATACTGCAAAACAATGCAGGATACAGCAGTATTGTCACTGTGTATACGAGTGTTTGTGGCTGCTGTGACCAAGGTGCAGCATCACCCACTGGATGGAGGTTCCACAGCATACCGGGCTGCTTTTCCACTGCCCCTGAGCCACAGAGGCCAGCTGTGACAGAAGGTCCGAGTCACATCGCTTCACCCTTCATATTGAGGGCTCAGGGCAGATTGACCACACACAAACACACACACCCTGCCAGAAACACGAAATCCAGGGCTCCACTTTTGCTGCCAATGTGCACCCACTCAGATATCACATCCTAAACTTTAGAAGCTGTGTCTTCATAGGCATGGGCCTACAAAGTAAGTAATTATTGCACAACAACAGTGTTATAACCTGACCGCTTTGGAAGATGTGAACATTCCCCAGCTGTGAGAGTCTGTTGTAAATAATGAGATCCGAGAGCATTACAGGAAATGTAGGTTGCAGGTGTTTTCCAGCTCTAAATAAAAACTTTTAAGTTCGGAAGGACTGTAATGTCAATTTAGACTTTATTTTTTGTCTCTTACAAATTACCCAAACTTACCCAAAAGTATGTTTATAGCTAAATTACTGGAAATCTCCTTTAAGTAAATATAAATGTATATTTCTGATATTTTCCAGGTGTTAGATATCTGAACTGTGGTCATCTATCTGTGCACACAGTATTTTCTGCATATGAAGATAAGAGCTTAAAGAAGTAACACTGTTGTGCAGGATGTTTGGCTTTGCACATGCATGAATGATGGAAATTATGCTGTTTAGTGATGTAAACATTACTAAGAGTAGTTTGGTTAAAGCCGTGGTGGGATTTTCTGTGACATTTTATGCCTCACTGTTATTCCACAAGCTCCATCCTCTTCACACTGATGTGTTTTATAAACGTCATATATGTATTTTACAGTTACAGTGATGGCCCAAAACGCTGAGTCACTTCACCTGCTGTTTCTGACTTCACTATCTGATGCAATAGGACATCATATGTGCATTTGCCAGGGATGTGGCTTTGATGCGTTGTTTCATAGATAGACACAGTTATATGACAGATCATCCCGCAAGAAAACAGAGCCAACAAGGAGACAGGGCCATTTCAGTGAGCCGTTAGCATGACTCTGCCTTGTTTACATCCCCACTGAACACCATGGATGCTGCCAGGCCACGTGTATAGGTTAATTCATCGCTCAGGGATGCTGGGAGGAGAAAGCACCTGAGGCAGGCTTCATTGCCCTCCTTTAAGAAAAAAAAAAAGGATGCTGAATGTTGATATTTTCCTTCCCCCTCTCTTAGATCCATTCAGCTCACCTCCTCTGCGTGTTTCCTCAGCGCTTTCTCCCGCTCGTACTGGGTGATGAGCTGCTCGTTGTCCTCCTTCAGCAGCTCCAGCTCCACTTCGTGCTCCTGGTTCTCCGCGAACACGGAGTCCAGGTTCTCCAGCACGGCCACCACAAGCGGCATCAGCTCTTTCACCACGTCCTCGTCGTATTTACCGATAAGCCTCTCGAACTCGCGGTAAATTGAGTTGGCCAGGCCCGACACCCGCTCAGACATCATCGCTGATGTCCCCGGGTCGTCCTGGTACACAACTCCGTCTTCCAGCTCCATTTTTAGTCCTCTTCCTTTCAACTAACAGGACCAGTTTTTTCTCCGCCTTACCCCGCCACTATGAACGCCCGTGTTCCTTAAATAAAGACAGCTTTTCTTTAATCAAACGGACACATTGAGAACAGCGTACGAATGTACTATTACGATGCAAGACAGGCTACGTGGATTTCTTCCTATTTTTCCTCGCCTGTCCCGTGCTGCGTTCAAATGCTCCCCCGAAGCTCCCAAATTCCTCAATCACCATGAGAACAAAACCACAAGGATCAGTTTCCAGCCCTTGAAGACCCAGAAGTAGCGAAAGATACTGTTTATCTTTTGAAAATATAGCACAAACAATATTATATAGACACACAACACTGTATTTTTTCACATTAAATGTAAACAACAAAATGTTTTTTTCCTGTAGCTGATTGAATTTAGAAATGTAGACGTATTGTTACACTGCACGAAAATGACACGTTTATCTTGAACATGGAAGGAGACAAACAAATCCAGGCATTTTATTTCGTCCAATACAACTTGTAATTCCAACAATTCTCATAGTACGTGAAGCAACTATCCAACAGCTGAGTTGTTGACCAGACATATCACGTGATGACGTCACATCATGCTACCGGCGTAAAATTGTTGGCAGTTTTATGGAGAAAAAGTCGCCTCGAAAGTTTTCTAAATAATATGATTAAAAATAACTGAGGTTTAAAAAATGTGCAAAGTGATTTGTGTGCAACTATTTAGATAGTGAAAAGTAAATAAATATATTATAAGATTCTGGGTAATTCCCCAGCTGTGCATTAGTAAAATAAAAAACATAGGTCTGCCTATATACGTTTCTACATACACATAAAAGATGAGTGACATACCATGCAAAGTACTATGGAGAGAAATTTTCCAGAAAAGGGTTACAAATGCCAGGGCTCTAGACTAACTTTTTGCCAGGGTTACACTGGTGCGCTTTTTTTCTTAGCTGCACCAGCACAAAAGTTTTACATGTTCACTTTTTTTTAATTGCTGTCCATACAGACAATATTTATTTGTAAACGATTAACTAACAATCTTATCAACACAAAGTTCTGTATTTAAAGCACAGTTCTACAAGAAAGGTGAGTTACTGGAAAAGTGCGTGGGCTTACAGTGCTTAAAGTGGCACTCTTTGGCAATATTGTAGACAATGTTAAACTTAATCATCATCTCGGCCTCTGACAACCTGTTTGCTGCTGCGTGCCGCTGAAAGGCACTGAGAGGGGACACTAGAGCAGTGCATTTATCGCAGCATATGTGTTTTCTGGATACTCTATGCTCTTTCTGCATTCGGAGGTTGATGGCTCTGTGTCAGAGCACTGGCTATGAATTTCAAACAAATCAGGTCTTAACTTAATGAAAAAGTTATCAACTAGTGATGTGTCGGTCGCGAACGAATCGGCTCTTAGAGCCGAATCTTTGAAGTGAACGACGCGAGCCGGCTCCTTATTGGGAGCCATGTAATTTTTTTTTTTTTTTTTTTTTTTACTCTCTCACCCATTCTATGACACTTATTTTGGCTTCACTTCGCACATGAGCGAGCAGCGGGGGGGAGGGGCGGTAGTTACACTGGCAGTAGCACAGGAACAGAGCAGAGAGAAAGAGAGCCAGGGACGACAACGTCACATTAGAAAGGTATAGTAATCATCCACAACTATTATCAGTTGCAGATGATGAAGGATTCAGAAAGTTTATTCATGCGGGCCCATATGACAGAGAATATGCATGTTCTTTTTGTTTTCATATTTTAATTTATATTTAATTGTTTTGTGGTTTGCAGTGTTTTGTTTCACTTTAAATTTGCTTAAAAGGAAAAAGCTTAAAATTTAAATAGTTAAAAGTTGAAATGTGAATAGTTGTTTTTTTGTATTATATAATTTGTTTATTACATTTTATCTGGAGTGAATAAGTATATTTACAGTGGCCCCTAGAGACAAAGCACGTACAAATACAGAAGCACGTACAAATACAGAAGCACGTACAAATACAGAAGCACGTGAAACCTCCAAAACTGTTAGGTGTGGCTGTGTGCAGGCAGGAATAGGACCCAAGGTGCAGACTCCGGAGACAGAACTTAAACCAAAACAGCTTTAATGCTGAACTCAAACATAACATAACTGGGGAAAAAGGTCAAAAATAAACTAACACTGGCGGATTGACAAAACACACAGCAAAGTAAACAGTAGATCGACACGGACACAGAGAAACACAGGGCTTAAATACACAGAAGGAGCAATCAGGGAATGGGTAACAGGAGGGAAACACAGCTGGGGCAAATCAGGCCTAACGAGACAAGGGGAAGCAAAACCAGACACATTAACATCAGACATGGACTTTCAAAGTAAAACAGGAAACCTAACACAGACTCCCAGGCAGGCACCACAGAGGGAACAGAGACGTGGGACCAGGGCAGACACAAACACTGACTGAACACGGGGATATAGGAACTAAGGATACACAGAGACGTGAACTAGACAAGGGGATACAGGTGATAGGGGAGACAGAGCAACTAAGACAGACATAAACCATAAGACAGAACTCAAAGAAACCAAAGACTAGAAAGTATAAATAATATAAGAAACTCAAGTACCCAGGCATCCTAACAGTACCCCCCCCCCCCCCCCCCCCTTAAGGGCTGGCTTCCAGACAGCCCAAACCAAAACAAAAAAACAAAAAAAACAAAAAAACAAAAAACAACCCAACCAGGGCGGGTGGCGGGGGAAACAGGATGGAGGGCTCGAAACAAAACCAAACAAGGAGCCAGAAACAACACAAAAAAAAAAAAAAAAAAAAAAAAAAAAAAAAAAACAACCACAATGGAGCCCGGAAAGCAACAGAACAAAAAACAGGCTCACGACAGGCGCAGGCAGCCAGGAAAAACAGTTCACAAAAAGTTCAGGGGGCTGACCCGGAGGCTGACAGCACAACAGTCCAAACCCGGGCAGTTCAGGGGGGCGGCCCGGAGGCTGACGGCCCAAGAGCCCAGAAAACAGTTCAGGGGGCTGGGCAGGCAGGAGACACCGGCGGCGACGGAGTAGGTCAGGAGGCCGACCGGGCGGGAGGCACCGGCGGCGGAGCAGGTCAGGAGGCCGGCAGGGCGGGAGGCACCGGCGGCGGCGTAGTTCCGGGGGCCGTCCATGACGGCGGCGTAGTTCAGAGGGCTGTCCATGACGGCAACGACGTCCAGTCATCGGCCGGACAGGACGTGCAGGAACAGACAGCATGGAGACCTCAGGATCAGGCGGAGCTGCAGAGGCCGGGGGCCAGACCAGGCGGAGCTGCAGAGGCCGGGGGCCGGACCAGGCGGTGGAGCCGGTGGTGGCTGAACGGCCTCGCCAGAACCATCAGCAGACACTGGGACATGCTGGCTGGGTCCTCCCGGACACCCAGCTGACGAGGCAAGAGGCTGAACGGGCCCCTCGGATCCTCCAGCAGGAAGAGACGGCTGAAGCGATTCCTCGGATCCTCCAGCAGAGACAGGAGGCTGAACTGGCCCCTCGGATCCTCCAGCAGGAAGAGACGGCTGAAGCGATTCCTCGGACCCTCCAGCGGAGACAGGTGGCTGAAGCGGTTCCTCGGACCCTCCAGCGGAGACAGGTGGCTGAAGCGGTTCCTCGGACCCTCCAGCAGAGAAAGGAGGCTGAACTGGCCCCTCGGATCCTCCAGCAGGAAGAGACGGCTGAAGCGGTTCCTCGGGCCCTCCAGCAGAGACAGGTGGCTGAGCAAACAACTGAGGCGGTAACTGAGCAGGTGACTGAGCCGATAGGTGAGCTAATGTCTGAGCTATGGAGAGAAGTTTAATATGTATCGACTCTTGTAAAGATGGTAGTAATGGTGGGTAAAGCGGTGGATTAGCAGTAAGCTGAGCTAGTTCCCCTGAGCCTCCAGAACCTGAAGAAAACTGCTGGACGGGCTCACCTGAGCCTCCAGCGAGGTCAGAAACAGGTGCGGGTACCTGCTGAACACCAGCCACTCCCACCCGAGGAGAAGGTACGGGTGCCGGAGCTAACTGGTTCCCGGTCATCCTCACCCTGGGAGCCAGGACAGGCACCGTCAACGGCTAGGCAGCTGCTGTCCCCACCCGAGGAGCTGGTACGGGTGCAGCGACAGGCAGAGGCTCAGCCAGCCTAGACACCAGAGCAGGGACCAGCTGGACCTCAGCCTCCCTCACCTGAAACACTGAAACAGGTGCAGGGGGATGCTGGGCCCGAGCTGCCCTGAGAGCAGGAACACAATGGTGCGAAGGAGCAGGCTCAGTAAACACAGACTCCTCTAAAATGTTTTTTAGCTTCCTACCACCACCACGTCTAACAGTCTTAACAGTCTCAGTCTTAGCAGTGTTCATATGATTGTTTTTTTCCAGCTCAGAGGAACGAAAGCAATCATAACTCACCACCGGGAGTTGCTCCGCAGAAAAAGAGTGGTGACGGTGTGAGCGTCGCCTCCTCCGGGAAGTGGGGGGTGGCAAACTGGGCTGTAAATCCTCCAACGGACCGGGCTGCGATGAGGAATCAGAGAGTTTATGAAGCTCAGAACGCTGCAGTCCCAAAAACAGAGCGAAGGACTGCAGTGGAGTGAGTCTAACGTCCGGCGTCACATAATCTTTCTTCCTCCGCCGCTTAACCCTCTTGTCGGACTGGTAATCCAGGGGTAAAGGCGGAGGTGTAGCGACTGGAGAGATTGAGCACGTGCTCAACCTGATCGCCCGAGGCATAGGCGCTGGCTCGGCCATAGCCATGGCAGTTTGGAGGCTGCGGGGCCCTCCCAAAGCCAAACGTGACCCATAGAAAGGTGACTGGAGCTCCTGGGCATGCCCAGCCTCCTGCCTCACGCTCTCCTTGAGGAAGGCAGAAACTGCGGGTCGCCGATACCACACGGAGTCTGCTGGGCCCATGTTCTGGTCGCGATCTTCTGTTAGGTGTGGCTGTGTGCAGGCAGGAATAGGACCCAAGGTGCAGACTCCGGAGACAGAACTTAAACCAAAACAGCTTTAATGCTGAACTCAAACATAACATAACTGGGGAAAAAGGTCAAAAATAAACTAACACTAGCGGATTGACAAAACACACAGCAACGTAAACAGTAGATCACGACACGGACACAGAGAAACACAGGGCTTAAATACACAGAAGGAGCAATCAGGGAATGGGTAACAGGAGGGAAACACAGCTGGGGCAAATCAGGCCTAACGAGACAAGGGGAAGCAAAACCAGACACATTAACATCAGACATGGACTTTCAAAGTAAAACAGGAAACATAACACAGACTCCCAGGCAGGCACCACAGAGGGAACAGAGACGTGGGACCAGGGCAGACACAAACACTGACTGAACACGGGGATATAGGAACTAAGGATACACAGAGACGTGAACTAGACAAGGGGATACAGGTGATAGGGGAGACAGAGCAACTAAAGAAGACAGAGACATAAACCATAAGACAGAACTCAAAGAAACCAAAGACTAGAAAGTATAAATAATATAAGAAACTCAAATACCCTGGGTCAACAACCCAGGCATCCTAACAAAAACATGTACAAACTCCAAAACACAACGGAAGTGCTCCAGGATGCTATTGGCAGTGTTGAGCTTTTGTTACCTAGTGGCTGAACAAGCCAGGAAGTACCACGGACCGGATTTGGTGTGTGGTAGTAAAAGGAAAATGAACTTTTTTTATTTTTTGATTATTTGAATATATATGAGTAGTTGTGTATAAATACACAAACAATAAACATGTGCTTTCAACTGTGTAATTTAAGTGATTTGGGTAGCTCTGTTTTGGGAGTTCAGTTAATACTAGCAATGTGTTTTGCACAAACAGTTAAACAGTAAATAGTTACAGCTTCACAGAAAGAACCTTGAGAGCAAACTGCTGCTGAAGCTTAACCATCACTTCACTGAGTGAAGAAATGGCACATTTTTGCTAAATATGTAGAAATAGACGCACACCCATACAATTTATGGTAAACTGAGCTGCCTTGTATTTACATATGTTGAAATTGCCTTGTTCTAATGTTTTTTCTAAGGCTGCTGTGCCATTTGGAGCAAAAATGAATATAAAGTTTACAGCATATCTTGTCACTGGAAATGGTTTGCACTGTTTATATTTATATTATTGACTGTAGATATTGGTTAAAAAGGCTTTATGTTGTGAAAAACTGAAATTAGAATTGTTGTGCCTTATTTTGTTGATGTTTTTACACATATTCTATTTGAAAATACTAAAATGTGTATATTTTTTTATTTTTGTTTGTCTGATAGCATTTATTTAAAAAAAAAATTGGACATTAGTTACTCACTACTTGAGTAGTCTTTTCAGCAACTACTTTTTTACTCTTACTTGAGTGACTTTTTTGATGACTACTTTTCACTTTTACTTGAGTAATAATATTTTACAGTAATGCTACTCTTACTTGAGTACAATTTTTGAATACTCGACCCACCTCTGGCAGATACACAGTTTTACATCTTAACTGGCAACACGTGCTCCCGAGACATGATGGGAGACAACTAGCCGCTCCCAACATGCCGCACAGCCCCCACCTGAGTGGTTAGCTTTCCTCAGCAACCTGTGTGTCCATAACAAGGCCTATGAGGCGTTGGAGAAGGCGACACTGTCGTCAAATATGTGTTACGGGTCCCCCAGCCGTCTCCGAGACCAAGTCGGGGCCTGGGTTTGGAGCTGGGACCGTGACGGCTCCCCGGATGGGCTGATAGGGTACCAGGCGAGCACCCTGTTCCGTTGAGAAGTTAAGGGACGTGACAAATCGTCAGTATTTTATGCGTCGGGAGTGAGAACAGGTTGGTAAACCACGTATGACAGCCTGTCAAGCACGTCCAAACCACTGGCTTACACACAGTTCAGCTAAATACGTGACAAGGCAAGCGTATGTGAGCAAGTGTGTCTGTGTGTGTGTCATCTCCTGTCACACCATACATGGCGCAACCTCTTCTCAAGTTGCTCTATAGGTGCAAAAGAGCAGAAGAGCAGAAACTTGTGGTTTCTAAACGTGCAAAAGGAAGTTACAGCGAAGAGACCGCTCCCTTGCATATCCATGGTGATACTTCATGCACATGCACCTTTTATATGTATGGACGTGTGCAGGTATAGATATATGTGTATGTGTATGTATGCATATGTATATTTAGTATGGACGTCTTGTGTGCATGCACATGTCTATACTTATAGATATTTGTAGACATCTATTACTTACATAGTAATAGCAGTGGTAGAATACTTTTATTTATGTCTTGCATATTTCCACAACCCTCTATCAATAATCACATTCTGTGTATGCTACCGTTGTATATAGTTTATTATCTTACTTATTTTGTATTTGTTTGTATTTTTGTATTTATCATCTGCCATCTGTACCTGAGCTGGGGTAACGCAATTTCAGCGTTGTGGAATCAAAGTCTAGTCTAATCTAATCTAATCTAATCTAATCTAATCTTATCTCATCTCATCTCATGTTATCTTATCTTATCTTAAGATAAAATGAGCTAAGAAAAGATGACATGAGATGAGATAAAATGAGATATCTTATCTCATCTTATCTCATCTCATGTTATCTTATCTTAAGTGAAAAGTAGTGAAAGTTCCAGTGATGTGAAGTCAAGTAATGTGGTATACAGTAAACTGAGTCAACATCAATAAAAATAAAAAAGAAAGTAAAAGTAAAACTATGATAACAAAGGTGAAAGTAGCAAGAACAGTATAAATGAGCTCTGTCTGCCCCCACTGCAGTCAAACTGTCCAGAGCCACACAGAAGAAGGTAATGACTTTCAGAATAACTGTGACATTATTCTTTGCATTTCAATGAAGTTACATTTTCTTTCTATTCCTTTTTATACATTTGTAATTTTTTCATAACAATGTAATTCATTATTGTTATTTAGTTACATTTGGTGGTGCTACCTAAAAATGTTTCATTTTTCAACAGCAACAAAGGTGTGCAAAATACAAGAAACACAAAAACAAAGCAAAATATAAGAATAGGAATATGAGAATTATAAGAATAAATATATGTAAAAATGTATGCGCATTACTGAATATGTATACCAAATATTCTGTCCTATTCGGGTCAAATATGACCGATTTACAAATTAAAAAAATTCATAAATATTGTGTTTTACATCTAATTGCCTCAAGGCCTTATGACATGCTCCACACTATGCACTTGAACATATAACAGTGATGAGCACCTCTGTCGTATTTGTAATTTTTTCACAACAGTGTAATTTATTATTGTTATTTAGTTACATTTGGTGGTGCTACCTAAAAATGCTTTCTTTCTTTCTCTCTCAACCTTTTATTTCTATTTTCTATTTTCCAGTGAAATTTTAAAGACAAAAGAAAACAATATTAGACTTTCTTTGTAGGTGAGTAATGATTTTATGAAATCACAGTGTTCCCTCGTTTATCGCGGGTGTTACGTTTTAATAATAAGTCACGATAGCTGAAATCCGCGAAGTAGCGAACTTTATTTTTTGCAATTATTATAGATGTTTTAAGGCTGTAAAATCCCTCACTACATGCTTTATACACTTTTCTCAGACAGGCATCAACATTTTCACGTTTCTCTCTTGTTTAAACGCTCTCAAAGTTCAAACCTTTGTACAAAAATGACTTCAGTATTATAGAGTGAAATGAAAGATCAAACCCTGTTTTCTGGTCCAGAACATGGGAGTAGAGCAGCACAACACAGTACAATACGACACAAATGATTTTGGGCAAAGAGTGTTATGTTCTAAATGTTTCAATGCATATGTATGGATGTATTATTGTGCTATAATGTTTTACAGCAATGGGAGGACAAGAGTCTCGACCTGTAAACACTCCAACGAGTAAGATAAAACATAACACAATAAAGTCAAACAGATCAGAAAGAATTACGTATTATCAGTCATTGCTTTCTTTAAAATGTATTTTCAGTTTTTTTGTCAATTCTGTGCATGTTTTCAGCTTTAAGTGAAGAATGGAGGAAAATGGAGTGGACGTGAGTATTTGACTCTTAATGTGCTTTTGTTGCCACGTAAACGTCGTAAATCATCTACTTGCAAAAATCGGTTGCTGTCAGCTGAATTTCCCATTCTCATTGGTGTTCATAGCATAGTCTCACCACTGTATCTGCACCACTATCAGTTTCACTTTCTTGACTTTAACTTCATAAATATTCTTCCTTGAACAGTGGCAAAACCAATGATCTCCGAAGCATAAATAATTACCAGCCTTATAACTCTGAGCTCCAGCACCTCAGAATTCTTCTTCATGGACCCGTTGGTACCAGCAAGTCCAGTTTCATCAACTCAGTTGACACTCTTTTACAAGGCAGAATGGCTGCAAGAGCTTTGGCAGATGCAGCTTTTGAAAAGAGCTTCAGTAAAACAGTATGTTTTAATCCTAGTATGGTTTAGTCAAGCTCATGTATTTTGTGCAATTTGTTAAACAAAAGTCATGCAATTTGTAACAAAACTAGGGGACTGAAACTAAACAGCTATAAAGCTGCACGTAGAACCAAGGTCTCTTGTTTTTCCACTACAGCACAGTAAAGATTAGCACTTAGAGGTCTTAGGATTTGGTCTGCTCTTGCGTGACAGATGGTTTTTTTTTATTTTTTGCTTCTTGAATCTTTGTCTGAAGTTTAGTTTCACTTTACTTTTCTCCATAGTTGTTCTCACAGATATCAGCCTTATACTAAACCAGAAACCAGCTTTGTAGTCTTCAGTGATTAGGTGACCCTGTTATCAGAACCGTTAAAACCTTTTGTTTTACAGTATGAAACTTTCAAAATCCAAAAAGGAGGACCAGGAACTTTTTATCCTTTTGCCTTCACTGACATCATGGGCCTTGAGAAGGACACAGGAGTTATGGTGGAAGACATCATACTGGCCATGAAGGGGCACGTGAAGGATGGTTACACGGTATCATGAAGTTTAAGGCATTTTTGCAGACACTATTTGATGGTGTATACAATGACACGATTTAATTATGCCTTTAAATAACACATACGGTGTATTTAAAAGTTAGATTTCCAAAAACACGTGTGTGTATATATATATATATATATATATATACATACATACAAATATGTATATACATACATATGTGTATATGTGTGTGTGAAACATTTGCGTATACTTGTTTAGTTTAATTAACTTCATTGTTTTCCAGTTCAATCCTCAATCTTCATTATCCGAACACGATCATAAGTACAACAAGGAGCCCACTCTAAATGACAAAGTTCATGTTTTAGTGTCTGTGATCGATGCCAACAAAATAAAACTTATGAGTGATGATATAATAAAACAGATGAGGACTGTCAGACTTGCAGCCAGTGACATGGGTAAGAGCCAAGCGGGGTTTTAGGATAAACCCAAAATGAATTCAATAAGCTGACAAACATCACCAACTCTGATATTCTTTAATATTCTGTGTATTGACAGGAATTCCCCAAATGGCAATTCTCACCAAAATTGATGAAGCCTGTCCAGAAGTCAAAAAAAATATACGAAATGTGTATAAGAGCATCTGGTTGAAGGAACAGGTACTTTTCTAGTGGTAATTTTCAGTATTTAGCTGGAATATTTATTTATTTTTACCAGCAGTTTCATTCAAGTAAATTTTAAGTAAAATAAATGCTAACAAAGGTTAATTGTTGAAATTTAGATGGAGATAGTGAGTGTGACATCAGGTATTCCACTGTACTGCATCTTTCCTGTCAAGAACTACCACTCTGAGATCCAAACAGATGATGACGTCGACACACTGATACTGGCTGCTCTGAAGCAGATGATCAACTTTGGAGAGGACTACGTTAACAAACTGCAGACCTGCTGAACCTTGTTTATTGTTGTGTTAAAATGACTTTTGGGTCTGAACAGGGATGTCAGAGTAATTCTTTGCATGCTGATTCTCATTTTCTTGGCTAAAGCATTTACCCTTAGACTAGAAACTCTTCTGGCCTTTTTTTTTTTTGCTTGAATGACAAAGTTTGTGTTTGCTTTGTAGACTTGGCTTTCAATTTTTGTGTTTTGCTCTTGTATCTATCAACCTTTGAACAGACATCTAATTGTGTTAGAAAACTATACTGCTTTCATATTATACTAGGGTGACCATATTTTGATTTCCAAAAAAGAGGACACTTGGCCCAGTCATGAAGTACTTTAATAATACTGTTTGCTTAAAGGGCAAAAGAAAATAACTTGAAAACCTCTGGAATTAAATAATGGTACAGAGAAAAGGCCTCAACTGTATAAGAAAAATTACCAGCACCGGGACGGTACTGAAATTCAGGGGCGATTCTTGGATCAGAGCTTTGGGGGTGCTGAGCACCCAGAGAGCTGCCCAGCCAGGCAAGATAAACCTGTCTCTGTCAGTCCCTGCATCCTTAAATGTTGTCCCGAGTTCTCTCTGACTGTCACTTTGGTGCATTTAAACCCCTGTTCCTCCCTGTCCTCATCGTCTGTTGTCTTCGTCTCCGTTATCAGTCATCATAATTTTACCATCTCTGTGCAAGTCTGCAAATTTCTTTATTAAATCATAAGATTCTTAAATGCATCAAGTCTCTCTGTGCCTGGGTCCTCGTCACAGAACATGACATCACTGTTTTGTACATTTTAACACAATTGAATCCCCACATTTGTGAAAGAAAAGCAAAACACTTTTTTGAGAAGTCTGTAACAAAACCATCAAATCTGATAAAGGTTATTTAAATTAGGGCTGGGTATCGTCACTGATTTCTAGAATCGATTTGATTCCGATTCACAAGGTCTCGAATCGATTTGATCCACGATTCGATTCAATTTGATTTGATTTGATTTGATTCGATTCGATTCAATTTGATTTGAATCTGGGAAATTTTGCCTCAGACAGTCAGAAATATTATAATTCAGATCAGTACATTAACATATTTTTGTATCTATAAAAAGGAAGCTGACACTCGCAAGACTTTATCAAAGGTGTGAGCATCACAGCAGATGCCTTTGTGTCAAAGTAGCTGAAGATAAAACACAGAAAAACATGAAGGTTTTCCTGGCCTGGGATTTTATAAAAAAAATATTCTATTCTATTCTAGCACATCAAAAACGAAAGAAAACCATTAATCAACATATGAACATCACCTCTGAAGTTACAGCGGTTTTATTAGAGACACAGTTAAGCTTTTTGCATTTTGCATAATTTTAAAAAGTTTAAATTTGTTCAGAAGCCTATTGAACGGCAGAAATTAGGTTTTCTTTTTGGAAGTAAGTAAAAGGGAAAAAAAAACAGCGGCCGACAGCGCTGTAAACAACGGTAGACTTGTGCGTAACAAGCAAGCGAATAATGAAGAAAACAGATTTTTAGACGGGAAACTGTTGTTGAAGTACAGAGAGAGAGAGAGCTGTGCACGAAGTGTGATTTTACAGGGAGTGCAGACTTATTAGGCAAGTTGTATTTTTGAGGAATAATTTTATTATTGAACAACAACCATGTTCTCAATGAACCCAAAAAACTCATTAATATCAAAGCTGAATTTTTTTGGAAGTAGTTTTTAGTTTGTCTTTAGTTTTAGCTATTTTAGGGGGATATCTGTGGTGCAGTACTATTACTGTGCATAATTATTAGCAACTTAACAAAAAACAAATATATACCATACCCATTCACAAATATACATTTCTGACATTAAAAACAAAACAAAAACAAATCAGCGACCAATATAGCCACCTGTCTTTGCAAGGACACTCAAAAGCCTGCCATCCATGGATTCTGTCAGTGTTTTGATCTGTTCACCATCAACATTGCGTGCAGCAGCAACCACAGCCTCCCAGACACTGTTCAGAGAGGTGTACTGTTTTCCCTCCTTGTAAATCTCACATTTGATGATGGACCACAGGTTCTCAATGGGGTTCAGATCAGGTGAACAAGGAGGCCATGTCATTAGTTTTTCTTCTTTTATACCCTTTCTTGCCAGCCACGCTGTGGAGTACTTGGACGCGTGTGATGGAGCATTGTCCTGCATGAAAATCATGTTTTTCTTGAAGGATGCAGACTTCTTCCTGTACCACTGCTTGAAGAAGGTGTCTTCCAGAAACTGGCAGTAGGACTGGGAGTTGAGCTTGACTCCATCCTCAACCCGAAAAGGCCCCACAAGCTCATCTTTGATGATACCAGCCCAAACCAGTACTCCACCTCCACCTTGCTGGCGTCTGAGTCGGACTGGAGCTCTCTGCCCTTTACCAATCCAGCCACGGGCCCATCCATCTGGCCCATCAAGACTCACTCTCATTTCATCAGTCCATAAAACCTTAGAAAAACCAGTCTTGAGATATTTCTTGGCCCAGTCTTGACGTTTCAGCTTGTGTGTCTTGTTCAGTGGTGGTCGTCTTTCAGCCTTTCTTACCTTGGCCATGTCTCTGAGTATTGCACACCTTGTGCTTTTGGGCACTCCAGTGATGTTGCAGCTCTGAAATATGGCCAAACTGGTGGCAAGTGGCATCTTGGCAGCTGCACGCTTGACTTTTCTCAGTTCATGGGCAGTTATTTTGCACCTTGGTTTTTCCACACTTCTTGCGACCCTGTTGACCATTTTGAATGAAACGCTTGATTGTTCGATGATCACGCTTCAGAAGCTTTGCAATTTTGAGACTGCTGCATCCCTCTGCAAGATATCTCGCTATTTTTGACTTTTCTGAGCCTGTCAAGTCCTTCTTTTGACCCATTTTGCCAAAGGAAAGGACGTTGCCTAATAATTATGCACACCTGATATAGGATGCACATCACCTAATATGCTTAATTGGTAGTAGGCTTTCGAGCCTATACAGCTTGGAGTAGGACAACATGCATGAAGAGGATGATGTGGACAAAACACTCATTTGCCTAATAATATTGCACTCCCTGTAATATGGAGGTGAAACACCTTCATTTCTGGATCATGATTATTATTACCCTTTTTTTTTCACCAAGAACTCCCATTGATAACAGAGTGTCTTTTACAAAAGTAATCTTGCTACACTATCAACCATACAACCTAAAACATCTAAAACAAAAAAGAAGTTGGAAATACAAAAAATATACAAAGTCCTCAACATACGACACAAAAAACATTACTTATTATGCTTTTAAATTGAATAAATATATTACTTCATTTTTCATTTAAATTGATTAGAAATTTTTTTCTAATCAATTTATTTCAAATATTTTTTATAATTTTTTGTATTAAACATGTATACTTTTTATTAATATTTTTTAATACAAAAAAAAAATCAGCAAGGAGGGCAATTTGTATTACCCATAGCGAGAACCGATGTAGTTATATGAAGTCTTTTATATGGCGCTATTAAGGAATAGAATTTGGTGTCACTGCAGATAGAGAGAAACACTTTTGACTACGGTTAGAAACTGTTATCGTGAGCCTGGATCTGTAAAAGTTATATGAGTCATAATTTGTGCTTTGAGGAGCAGTTTTTTGGTGTGTGTGTGTGTGTGTGTGTGTGTGTGTGTGTGTGTGTGTGTGTGTGTGTGTGTGTGTGTGTGTGCGTGCAAACCATCAAAACGTAAAGATTTGTGACCCCAGGAATAAAGCTGCTGCAGTACTTCAGGTACTAGGGATTCTTGATAAAAGCACACAACTCACACCGGGAGGATCCGTGCCGAATTTTATACACTAAACGTAAACATATGCACATCAAAACAGCATAACAGGAAAAAAGGGCCTTGTTGGGATTCCATTGCTTGGCATATTAATGAGAAATGTATGCAAGCATTAAACAACCATTTTTATTTATCTGTGCAGCTTTCCTTCTTCATGTCCTCAGTGTGTAAACTCCTCCACCTTTAATGATTGTCACTAAGTTAAAGCAGCTGTTTAAAGGTACATTGGTGGACTGGTATAGAAAAAATCAGAGTCATCAAAACATGAAAGAAAGCTGCAAAAGTCCAGCTGCAACGTCTCGAGTGTCACAATTCAGTCTCCTCATTGGTCAGTTAGTTAATTACAAAATGCTTTCATCCAGTTGCAGTCAGTCAAATGAGGAGTTCAGAGCAGTTCTCAGCATGACTATAGCACAAAGAGTCTGCAGCATATTGGTTCAGTTTCAACATTAGTCTAGTCAAAGCAGATACAGTACATGTAAATGGAAGAATATGACATGAAAGCAAGAATAATGAGGACAGTTAAACAAGCTGATAAACACCCAAAAAGTGATGGGGATGGAGGAATTAAAGGGCAAGAAGACAAAGAAACCAGTAGGTGGGGAGAGATTAATTGGAAAGCTTATCTGTATATAAAAATATGTGATTCATTAATATTGTGTCACTGGTATTTGCCAGTCCCTCTGTGTTTGTCCCACAGCTTCTAAATTTCATAAAAAGTTCACCACAGTGATGGGTTAGGATCTATGTGTGCATTTTACAAGAGTCATCTAAACACTTTTCTTGATTGACTTAAGGAATTTTAAGGCTGGGATGAAAAACACATTTTACATCATGGGCCACATATAGCTCACTTTCATCTTAACTGAAACTCCCTTTTCTATCGGTTTAAAGAAGTTAACTGCACATTTATTCCCTCCTATATCTTAACAGATTACTAAGAAGTGCAATTTAAATTGTGCATCTCTTTCTACATGATAAAGAAATGCTAATAAATAAAAGAAATCTGACAGAAGGACTTTTGGGGCTTTGATAGTAAGAAATAAATGTGTAAAATTACATAAAAAGCTTAGGTAGCTCATTGCCCAGACATTAAAGAAGATGGTTTTTGTTAATTTCCAAGAAAAGTTATGTTTTCACTGGAAATTGGGGGGGGGGGGAAGCCAGGTCTTTATCAGTAGAAAAAAAGCTGTTAAACCACTATCTGGGACCAAATATATTGATTTTAGGATATTTGGTGATTCTACCCTGGATGTGAGTGTGAATGTGAACAGTGGTGGATGTCTGCCTCTACGTGACTCTCCAGGATGTACCTGTATCACCTTATGAAGAAGGAGGAACGTAAGTGAATAAATGGAAATGGTTTCATTTCAAATTTCATTGCAAACATAAAGTCAACACGTAGCTTGAACGGTATGATGAGACAGTGATCTGCTGAGGGTGGTTGGTGTTTGTTTCTGGGGTTGTCATCACATTTTATAAATGTCAGAGCGCGATGAGACGGCACAGTGACTGCTAATTATTTCCAAGCAAAAGTCTGTTGAAGTCTTGCTGAAGCACACTTTGTTCTTAAAGATGGAGTAAAACAATAAAAAGTAGCTTACAAAATGCTGTATCTCTACAAATACATCATCAGGCATAGTGAGATTCTGTGCTTATAAGTGACACCTGCTGGAGGTAAACGGGTGGCTGGTAGCACAGACCCTGTGACGTCTCCATAAAGATCTGGACGAGGTGAGGCT